GGGTGTGTCAGAGGCAATGAGATTGGCACAGGATAGAGCAGGGTTTAGGGCTGTTGTACATAGCGTCGCTGTGAGTCGCAAATGACTCGATGGCACATAACAACAATAACAACAAGTGAGGTCATCTAATATTTGCCCTTTTGTGACTGACTTATTCACTCAGCACAGTGTTTTCCATGTTCATACACATCATATCAAGACATCTTTTCTCCTGTTGGTTAGTAGTATTCTGTTGTACCACATTTTGTTTATTCATTCATCTGTTGATGAGCATTTAGTTTGTTTCCAACTTTTGGCTCTTGTGAAGAATGCTGCAAGGAAGGTCACCCTACAAGTATGGTTTTGTGTCTATTTTCAAGTTTTATGAGAATCTACCTAGGAGAATTGTTTTCCAAAGCTGTTGTTCCTTTTCTCACTCCCACTAGTAATAGGTAAGTGTTCAATTTTGACACATCTTCCCCACCATTTTTTCTTTTTAGGTTTTAGTTTTTTAGCTTATCCATTCTCAACTCAACTCATTGCATGGAGTTGGAACCACTGATACATGACCCTCCAATGGGTTTCAAGGTTGTAAACTGGATGAGAAGAGACTGGATTGTCCATCTTTTCCCCAAGGAGCAGTTGGTGGGCTCAAACTGCCTGCCTTTGGGTTGCCAGTGCAACTTCTTACCCACTGAGCCACTGAAATGGTATTTCTCTGTGGTTTGATTTGCATTTATATGATGGCAAATGATGCTGAGTATCTTTTTATGTTGCATAGTCATTTAAATGTCCTCTTTAGTGAAGTATCTATTGAAATTATTTGTCTATTTTATGACTGGGTTATCTGATATTTTCTTGTCAAAGTTTTGTATGTATTTTGATAATTAGGTTTTTGTCAAATATACGGCTTCTACCTCATTGGATCCTTAAAACAGTCTTTTGGAGTTAATAGACAAGGAAATGAATACTCAGAAAGATGAAGGAACTCACTCATAGATCATCTAAGTGGTTAGTGGTAAAGTTGGACTTTTAAGTTAATGCTTCAAGCTTTAAACTTGAGTCCTTTCTTAACTTCTAAGTAAACGGACTCTTATTTATTTAGCCACTTAATTTATGAACATATAAAATTATCTCACTTTAAAAGTAAATTATTTGCAAAAGAAATAATGACAAAAGAATATTTAGGGATTATTTCCAATATAAATATATCTCTGCATCCCCTGTACTCTTCTTCCCATGTGGCTCTGCTGAGCATTTCTTCAATGAGATACCAACATGGCCATACAAATCACACAGCTTCTTTGTTGACTGGTGGATGACCAGTCAACACAGGCCCACTCAGTGATGGGGTTATAGGGTGTAGGAGACAGCCAGGCCTTCTGTCTGTCCTCTCCCACCCACCTCATACTGACCTGAAGACATAGAATCCACCTCATTGATCGGCCTTTCACCTGCTTCCCTCTCCAGAATGTCCTTCAGAGTGAGGGCTGTCTTGTAGTACTGGATTCCCAAGATAGTTCTCTTTTCTCTCACCAGACAGTAGCAATGGAAACTGTCAGCATTGGTGGCACTTTTGACAGCAATCATATCCCCTCTAGAGTCCAGCTTTTGGATCACAGTTCTTGTGATTTCCTCGAATATGCTAGGCATTGTGCCTGGATCAACTAGAAAAAGAAAGCCAATTTAAACTTGGGAGGGTTAGGTTTGTACTCAGCATTGTTTGAATATTCCACCTTTGGCTACCTGGGGTCAAGAAAGATCCAAAGGTTCTAGAGAAACCAAGACCTGGGATGTATTGTCTTTCCTACTTCTAGAGTGTGAGATGGTCAAGACATACAAAGAAAGGCTGGACATCACAAATTGCGAACTCTCCTGTGGTCCTCCAGGAATTCATCTGAAAATAAGATGATGCTGATCACCTCAGGCAGGGAGAATGAAGACCTTTTTTGCTACATCTTCAAGCTCAGAGGGAATTGATAAATGGAAAAGCCCACTGTCCCCCAGCCAAATCCTCAGCAATGCCGATTAATGTAGAAACCAAGAAGGGATGAGGGACATGGCTGCCACCCCTCCTATTGCCAGCTCCAGTAAGTTCTTTCTTCCTGTACCTCAGTTCACCAGGCTCCCTCCCTCTGTACTACCCTGACTGTCTTCACCAAGACAACAGGCTCCTCCCCACCAACAATTACCTTTCTTATCTCACATTATGGTACTAAATTACCTTTAAGAGAAAGCAAATCACAAAGGACAGAGTACAAAAGCAACATGGAGCTGGGTACCCCGGGCAAACCCCACAGGTTGTTTCTTTTCAGTTTCTGGTCCCCTTCTGAAGGTGACCCTTTCCCTTGATAACATAAAATTAATCCTACCAGAAAAAATGTACACATTCTCTCCTTTACATTCTCCTGGTTTGTTCCTGGCCTGGGTCCTTGCCTTGGCAAGACTCACCATAGACCCTCAGACCAAATAATAGGGCTCAACTGGCCCTTTGCTGTTTCTTTTTTGCAGCAGATCTTTGTCCCCAGCGCAGTGGCTATCTCAGCCTCTCTCACTTCCACGTCCTCTTGCTTCTCTCCCGTTGAGTAATAACTGAGATTATTCTTTCCTGAAGTCTTTTTCTTTCCTCTGGTGCTAGTTATCAGGCCATCAGACTCCTGGGTTCCTCCTCCACATCCTGTCTCTAGCTAGTTTTAGCTAAATCCCTCCACCCTGGCCCAGGCGTCTATCCTCACACTATTCCCTCTGTTGCCCTGCCCGCTTCATGGTGCCCAACTCTCAACTCACTCTCAAACTGGAAATTCTTCTAGGTTTTTGAAAAGCAGTTCCCATGCCCCCCAGACCCATCTCAGAGCCTACCCACCTCCTCCCTGGCCTCCCACTCACCAGTAGCTGAAATTGGAAGAATCCTTTTCAGTCAGATCTCTGTACAATTCCCAGCTACTGTGCCCCAGAAAGCTATAATAAGGTAATTAAAAATTATCCAGATTGAATAATTTCTGGAAGGCTGGGTAGGGCTGGGTGCTCCACCTGCCAGACGTTTAGATAAACCAAAATGATTGGGTTGAAGAGAAATGAGACCAGAGGTCAGATTCTCCCCTTTCTACTTGTACTCAGGAAGCAAGTAGTGGGTATTGATACATTCTAGGTGAGTCTGGGCCACAGGATGGTAAAAATCATACAAGATATTACAAGGCACACCAAGCCATGAAATCAGGACTGTGAACAGTTCAGCCCAGTTCAGACATGGCTGACAAAGTGACTCAATTTTTAAAAATGTAGATGAACTGTAACAACAACCAGAATGGGAAAAGTCAAGGATTGATGCCCTGCTTGAAGCTTAATCTTCTTCTCAGAAAACAAGGACAGTGTGCAGATTGAATAGTAACCACATCTCTTGACTAATTGAGTTGAAAATAATGGTGCCCGACTCAAACATGGCAGAAAACGGCAAAGCTTTGAAAGTGCTATTGCCATTATTAGGAGCTGTCAAGTCAATGTTCAACTCCCAGTGATTACATGTAACAGAGTGAAACTGCCCCAAAGTGTCTTCTAGGTTGGGATCTTTACAGGAGCAGATTGTCAGATTTCTCTCCCGTGGAGCCACAGAGTGGGTTCACACCTCCAATAGTTTGGTTAGTGGCCAAGGAATTAACTATGTATACTCCTACTACCATGATTCCTTCTATTAGGAGAGTAACCTAACTGAAACCAGCTACTGAAATACCAAATTAAGATGGAGAACATTGTATTTTAAATTGTTAAATGCTATCAAGTCAAAACTGACTCATAGCTGAGGAAGTTGCTCATCTTTCTCTCACGGAGCAGCTGGTAGATTTGAACCTCTTGCCTTTCAATTGTAAGAATATGTTTTTACCAATAGACCACGAGAGCTCCCTTCTTGTTTAATGTATCTTGCTTATCTGGTGTCTTTCCAATCAAGGTGGTAATCAGTTTTATTCCAGTCTTTAAGGAATAATGATAAGATCTGGATCAAGATTGCCTTAAATCTGCACATTAGTTTGGGTAGTATTGACATTTTCACAATGTTATTCCGTATTGAGGGTACCATGGACTGCTAGGAAAACAAACAGATTTATCCTGGAAAGGGTTAAATCAGGCTGCTCCTTGGAAGCAAGGATTCTGAGGCTTCGTCTAACATACTTTGGACATGTTGTAGGGAGGGACCAGTCCTTGGAGAAGGACATCATGCTTGGGAGGGTGGAGGGACAGTGCAGGAGGGGAAGGTCCTCTAGGAGGTGGATTGATTCAGTGACTGGGGTAATAGGGGACAGTGTGATTGGCACAGGACAGAGCAGAGTTTAGGGCTGGTGTACATAGGGTTGCTATGAGTCACAAGCAACTCAATGGCACATAACAACAACAACACAATATTATTAATTTAATCACAACAATAGTCATATTGGTAAAAGAATTACTTTGGGGTGGTTTTTTTTTGTTTTTTTGGGAATTTTTTTGTTTGTTTGTTTGCTTGCTTGTTCCCCTCCTCTTTCTCTCCTTTCCCCTCCCTCATTGGACAGTTAGACATAACCTGTTGGCTTATTACAATAGCCATTTTGGCCTTTTGTCAGTTCTTCCCAGGTTGATTCTCCCTTGCCCTGATTCTTTACAGAGTTCATTAACTGTAAATTCTATTTCTGTTCTCTCAATCCCACCCACCCCTCAGATATTCTCCTCTTTTCATAGTAGTGATCTTGTGCAGTATTTGTCCTTTTGTGATTGTTTTATTTTGTTCAGCGTAATGACCTCTAGACTCACCCATGTCTTGCAGTATTGTACAAATTCTTCCTTCTTTAGTGCTGCATTGTGTGAATGGACCACAACTGAGAGAAATACTCTTATCTTGTACTTAAATTTCTAGAAATGTTAAAAATTATTTATAGCAAGCATACAGTTATTTCAATTTTAATTACTTTTTATTTGAAAGAATCAGAAAAGGCTTTTATTGGAAAAATAGCAGTCTCCTCTTACACTCTTTCCATCCCTTCTCATTGCTTTCTCATTTGGAAAGATAATTATAATCCTTATCTTCTGCCTCATTCTTTCTGTCTTTGTGGATTTCCATCTTCCCCCCTGCCCCTTGACTGTCATTTAGTAAGGTTTCAATGGAGAGAGGAAATGTAAATATATGGTCTATCTGCCACTTTTAATTAAGTTCATGGATGAAATCCAGCTGATTTTGGAAATTATTATGTAGAGAAAAAGATGAATTAGAAGATTAAAAGAGGCTAATTTTAAAGAGAACATGTTGGTGATTGGGGGGGTGGTAATGACTGGGATTAGGGAGGAAACAGAGATTAGTGGGATAATCATTAAAAGGCTTGTGAAGTTAGGAGCCATTGGTAGACTTTTCGTTCAGCTGCGACAGGCCAGAGAGAACAACATACAAGGCACAGAAGACCCGTGCCTCAGTGTCACCATCAATGTTCTGAAGGTTATCGAAATATTCACTATGGTTCTCTTTCAGGGTACTCTCCACCTAGAAAGAAAGTCATCAGACTGTAAAAACTGAGAATAAGAAAATAAACAAGCAAGCAAACAAAATTGGAAATACCCAATAATATTCTTTACATAATAGTAGATAATCATGGAAATTTTCCCTGCAGATAGAGAGCCTTACACTGCTAATCAATAATTGTTTGCTCAAGATGATAATAATTATCGTTCTAGGACTAACAATTTTCCACCTTGGTTTCGGCAATCTTCTGTCCAAAGACGTGCCATAAGCCAACTGAATAAACAGGAGCTAGTAGGGAAAAAACTTGGCCCTGCAATTTCTGGGTTCTTTGAGAACACTTCTATTACAGCTTTCAGCCTAGGATGTCTCACCTTTTCCACCAACAAAGGAAGAGTCTCCTTTTCTTCTATGAATTTAACCACAAATTGTTGGCCCTCCTCAGGCAGCTCTGTGGACAAAGAAGAGGTTGGTTTGCAGAAAGCGAGAATATTAAAAAAGGACAGTTGTTCTAGTTGTCTAGTATCTGATCAGACCTTAAACAGACTTCAGAAAAAAGCTCCCTCCTAAGGAATGGAGGGCAAGGGAGAGAAAATTACTAACTAAATTGTAGAAATGTATTAACTTGGGAAAACGAGAAGGCAATACACAGTGAAGGGGAGATCAACACAACATGGTCAAGGCAAAGGAATACAGTGGGAAGTACATGAAAGGCAGCAATCATCCTGCAATAACAGAAACAACAAACAGTAATTACAAGTAGGTACATAGATACACAGGAACATAAATGTGTTGTGTGTGGAATAATGTAAGAAAAGTACACTATGAGCACATCTAAGTTTGGCAGAGGACATTTCCAGATACATATTTGCATGTACTGCAAATGTATCAAATAATTACAGTGAAGTGCTTAGTGGGCAAATTTATACCAACTTCTGAGCATAACCAAATACCTTGAGGCATTGGGTCGATGAACGCACTTGAGGATTTATGACTACAGTTTTGGAGACCATCCAGGTCAATTGACATAACGATGATGTTCTACATTCTACTTTGGTGAGTAGTGACTGGAGTTTTAAGAACATACACAGTAGTCTAAAATTCATTTATTTGTATCTTCCTATTGAAACAAAGAAGAATGATGAAAGCAAAAAGCTAAGGGAAGGAATTACTCCAAAGGACTAGACCACACAAACCACAGCCTTCACTCCTGAGCCTAGAAGAACTACATGGTGCCTGGATACCACTACTAAAAACTCTGGAATCACAGCAGAAGGCCCTGGGAAGAGTAAGAGAAAAATTTTAAAACAAAAGTAAAAATCCTAAAGAAACCAAACTTGCTGGTCTGATAGAGAATGGTACAACTCCTGAAGCTGTGGCCCTTAGATTCTTCAAACCTGGAACAAACCCTTTCTGAGAGACCACCTGGAATGATACACATTCCTATAAAATCAACCTCAAACAATCAACCATAAGGGACCAAAACGGCAACATTTTCACAAAAATACAAAGTTCAGGAGGCAACTGAGAAGCGAGGGAGAAAGTGGGCAAGTGAGAAGACTTAAATTGAGGGAATTGCAATGAGTGTCCTGAAATAAATTGTAGTATATAAATTGTTGACTGGGAAAATAATTTGTACTGTAAACTTTCATCCAAACTACAATAGAATGTTTTTTTTTAAAAAGTAAATGGGGGGGGGAGGGGAGGGGAGGGGGAAAATGTAAATGAAGGAGGAAGATGGGAGTGATTCCAAATGAGCTCCTTCTAAGTCACTTGTTCCCTCTTAACCTTTTAGTAGAGAATCATAGACCATCCCAAGAAGAGGGAACAGCCCCTCAATACCTGACCTGGGGAAGACTTATTTTTTTCTGAAATACAAAGCCTACTCCTCATAAAGGAATAAGGGTAACGTGTACCTTGTTTCCCCACAAGATCCTTGGCCAGCATTTCCCCCATCCAACCATATAGGTAGACCCCTCCTTACCCATCAGGGCGTCCAAGAGGTCTTGAATGGCTTCTGCACATCCCTGATTCCAAACCCCAGCATCATTAAAAAGGCATCTTATGAGAGGACCTGCTGGGCCATCCATCTGCAGCTCACCCGAGATCTGGGCATCAGACACCTAAGGCCAGGAGATGTGGGAGTTGAGAACCGGTTTCATGATAGTAGATTGTCCTCAATATGCCAGCTGCCCTCCCCATTGGCTCCTCCCACTCTGCCTCAGTTCTTTCTTCCCGCCCCTTACTCTGTCCTGTAGTTCCTGCAGGTGACCATCATTGCTGAGGAAATGAGTGAGGCAGCTCAGCACATCTTTTTTTTCCTTCTCAGTCAGATTCCGGAGGCCACTCTTCATGTCTTCCACAATTTCCTTCATGTTTCTGGTATCCTCATTTTCCAAGGACTTCCCTGTAGAAGACTCAATGTAGTTAGTTCAACATACACCTAGGGTCACTTGGACCCCATCCTTTGTCCACGTTTCTTCTGAAGACCCCTCTCAATGCCTTCTCTTCTTTAAATCTTTTCTTGTTAGAAGGAACCATACTTCTGGCAAGGCAGTCACCATCATCTTGCCTGCTGGCTGCACTTCCCAGTTCATCCCTAGTCTACTTTCAACCTCAACATCGTCCTCATTTCCAGGAAATAAAGACTTAGGTGTTTAGTCTTTGCCATTCAAAGTGCATTTCTTGAACTACGCAGGAATTGAAGTTCTCAACCTTGAGTGTATGAAAATCACGGGAGGACTTTATCAATGATCTTAATGCCTTAGACCACACTGTAAACCAAGTAAGTCAGAGGGAACCCAAACATGGGTATTTTTAAAGTTATCTAGGTGATTTCAGTGTACAACCACATTAAAAGAACCATCGTTTTGAGAAAACACATGCAACCTTTAGACTAAAATTAAAGCCTGTAATCAACACTATAGAGGGCTCTGATGGCCCAATGGTAAGGAATGGCGCAGTGGTCCTGCATGAGACCACCAGCTGCCCTGCAGGAGAAAGATGTACAATCTCCTCCTGTGCATCTTTCAGTCTGGAAACCCGCTGGAGCGTTAGCTCTGAGTCCATGCTACATAGCATAATAAATACTAAGAGGAAGACCCTCAACATGATGGGTTGAAACAGAAACTGTAGCAATGGGTTACATCATATCGGAGATTGTGAAGATGGCACAAGATAGGACGAGGTTCATAAAGTTAGTTTGTTTATAGGGTCATAGTCAACTCAACATAGCAACAATATGAACACTGCCCTTCCCTTTCCTCCGTACCCATCACCAATTGGCTGGTCCCACCTGAACTGCAGTCCTTGAGGCAGGAGTTTAGGCAACCTTAGTGCAATTGAGTTCCATTCTTACCAATGGAGGATGAACCATCAATCTCGGATGAACCATCAGTCTCTTCTAAAAGAGAAGAAGAATAATCTCAGAGAGTCTCCAGGTCACCCCCAAACTCCGCGTGAATATGAATATTCTCTCTCTACTTTTCAGTCTTGGACTCTAAGCCCTCACTTCCCATGTGAAGGAGCCTGTATCCTCATCATGGCCTGAATTCAGCAGAGCACCGCATCCCATATTCTCAGAAGCAGGCTGCCACAGGATTCTGCCAGTGCCACTGCTGTCAAATTCAAGGATGCTTTCTCAGTCACTATTTCTCCAGTTATGTGCTCAAGCAAGATACAGTACAATATGTACACAAATCAAATCAAGATCATCCTAAAAGGAGCCTGGGAACTCCAGGCCAGCACACAGTGCAGCCCGCCTCTCCATCAAGGCAGACTTTTCTCCATCCCTTACCACTTGGGTACCTCTTACCACATTCTCAGCCCTAACACTACAATTCCAGACCACTTATTGTCTGCTCTAAAAGTGGCATCTTTGCCCATCTGAAAAGAGAAAGGGGAGACCCAGAGGTTCACTCACCTTGTGGAAAAGAATGTCTTTTGTCTAAGAAGCTAATATCTAAACCAAGACAAAAACAGAAAGAGAAAGAAAGAGATCATTTCTCCTTCTAAAATTCCTTATTTGAAGTACCTTACCAACTCCATACCTTATTGCCACCTAATTTAAAAATAGGATATTGGGGATACTGAATTTTTACCTTCTCTGAAAGGAATGGTGCCATAGTGTGCCAAAGCTGTATCATCAGGGTGTGAGGAGGGATCCCAACTCTTCCCTCCCAAACCTGGACCCTTTTGTTTTCTCTGGTCCTTCCCACACCTTCAAACTCAACTGGCTCCACCCAGCCTGTCACAGAGCAAGGCTGAATTGACCCCTATCCCACTTATGTTCAGTGTCCCCTTTACTCATTACCCCCCCTTCAGGTCTTACTTACTCATCTCATCCTTGCTGAAGACCAGTGGCTTGATTCTATATCCCAGGACCCACTTGGGGGGGATGGTTACTGACTTTTGACTCTAGAAGAAAAGGTGCCGGCCGTGAAGGATCCCTGGTTACTTTACACAATTATCTTGCCTACTTGCCCAAATAATCCTGTGAGGTAGAAACATGAATCCCTAATATACAGATAAGAGAGGGAAGGCTGAGAAAGAGCAAGTGGCTAATCTACTTCCAAAGCTACAAATAATGGCCGAAGTGAGATTTGAAGCTACAGCTAACTCCAAAGCTGTCTGACTCCACTGCTAATCCAACATGTTGGTTTTGTTCTAAGCACTGTCACTCTGACTTTGTGCTTCCTAGAAATTAGGCACACAATGAACAAGCAAAAACATTTATGTAATTATAAACAGTGGAATGTTATGAGGAAAATAAAAAACAGGCATCACTGGAAAGAGCTTGATTACTGATATGGGGTGCAAGAAAGAAGAGGGCTAAGGATTCGGAAAAGTTGCTTACGAGTGTTTAGGAATGCACACCCATGTTTATCGCAGCTTTGTTCACAATAGCAAGGAGTTGGAAAAAACCTAAGTGCCTATCAACAAACAAATGGTAGAGAAGCTGTGGTATACATACAATGGACTACTATGCTACAATGAAAAACAAGGTACTTATGCAATATTATTCAGAATGGATGACCCTGGAGGACATTGTGCTGAGTGAAGTATCTCAGTCACAAAAGGACAAATAGTGCATGGTGCCACTGTTGTAAAACAGGACTGACCTCGGGGTTGGGGGGAGACTGAGAAAGGTGAGTTCAATAATGTATATTGCTTTGAAACAGATGAAGGAGAAAACTGTTTAAAAGGGATATGTGATTAGGTATTTCTGTCATGACAGGAGTCCAGAGGGAAGGCTGCATAGTGGAGTGGACCTAGGGGGAGGGATGGTAAAACAATGAAAGAATTTTTCTTTTATTTTCCAAGAGGGTAGTGTACTGGGGGGGAGGGTTGGGAGGGGAGAAAAGTACAATGAATGAATGGAAATCCAAAGTCTTTGTAAATTTTCATTGAAATTAATAATAAATTTAAAAATATAAAGGGGGGGGGAAGTAAGGAAAATGCTGAAGAGCCTGGAGTAAGAAGGACACCACTAGCCTACCCTCTGTCCCTGCCTTCTGGAATTCTAACCTTGTACTTGTATCCAGGGAAGAACCAAGTTAACCAGATCCAAAAATCAAATTGCTTCTCCCGTCTCAGGGTTTCCTCATTGGCTGTCATCAGAGTTTCTGTTACCAGATTCAAGTTATCTCTTTTTTTACGAATTGACTCAAAGGAAGGAGGTAGGTTCCTCTTCAGTTTCCTGGAGGGGCATAGAGAGACAGAGTAGGAGATCAAGATCTCAAAGGTTCCATTTCCCAATAACAATATGATATTTATATGCTTATTTATTATATCATTTGCTCAAATGGGGATGGCATTTGTCTGTCAGTTTGCTGTACTGTGGTGACTTCAAGTACTTATTGATGAAAATTTAAAAAAAAAACAACAACCCAACAAATAGCCTGCAGTATTAATTACAGCTTAACATCAAGAAATAAAAAATCTTCACAAATGGACCAATAAGTGACATCGTAATAAGTGGACAAAAAAAAAAAAGAAAGAAAGAAAAGAGATTTCCAAAAATTTCATTTTACTTTGTTCCACAATCAATTACCATAGAAGTAACAATCGAGAAATCAAGTGATGGCTTTAGAAACTATGGTAAATTCACACAATGGAATACTATGCAGCACGCAGGAGCAGTAACTTTGTAAATTATTGCCTAACTTGGGAGGCACTGGAGAGCATTATGCTGAGTGAACTAACTCAGTCCCACAGGGATAAGTATTATATAAGACCTTTATTGTAGAGTAAGTGTAAGGATCCAGAAGGGGTGGGAGAGGCTGGAAGCAGAGGGATGTGAATGTACAGGGGTAAGAGGGGATTTATCATTGGATTGTACAATTTGATGGGTGGGGAGGTGAGGGAAATTGAAAGAATTTATTTGAATTTGCATTAGAATTTTGTAAATTAGTAAAAAAAAAAAAGAAATCAAGTGATGTGTTGGGCAAATCTACAGCAAAGGACTTCTTTAAACTGGAAAAAAAGCCAAGGCATTACTTTGAGGACTAAGAAACGCCTGACCTAAGCCATGGTATTTTCAATTGCTGTTCATATGCACAATTAGCTGGACAATAAATAAAATCAAAGAAAAACTGGTACCTTTGGGTTATGATATTAGCAAAGAAAAAGGAATATATCATGGACTCACCCAAAGAGCACTGGTGCCCTAGTGGCACCTACCACCAGCCTAAAGGCACATGGTTCAAATCAATCTGCAGCTCTGTGGGAGAAAGATGGGCAATCTCCTCCCATGCAATTTAGAGCCTCTGAAAATTTGCTGGAGTGTCAACTATGAGTTGGTTCCAACTCAATGGCACGTAACAAAACAACAGGAAAAAAATTAATAAACCTGTCTTGGGGATAGTATAGTTAGAATGCCCCTAGAAGCAGGATGGCATATACTCATATACTTTGGACATATCCAGTACCTGATGATAGACTTCATGTTTGGCACAGTAGAAGGTCTCCAAAACAGAGTAAGGTCTTCCAGTGAGATGGATTGTTAGTGGCTACAACAGTGAGCTCAAAACAAGACACAAACTCTTGTGAAGATGGCACAGGACTGGGTGGTGTCTCCTTCTCTTGACTCAGGGTATTTATGAATCCAAGCTGGCTCCGTGTCACCAAACAACAACAACCACACACGTATCCTCATTCACACATACACTCACTCTCTCCCTAGAAGCAACAGACATTCTGGGGAGGTGGGGGACAAAAACTGAGCTTCCCTAGAAAACCTTGGAAGATCCTCCCTAACAACAGTGTGAGTGGAGGGTAGTTCAAGGGACCAGCAAACATGTACCAGAAACTTTTCATTTTTAATTTAAAAAGAAAAACAAAAAGCCCTCCTTCCACTCAGAGTCATGTAGCCCAGGAGAAGTGTGGGGTGTCTTCCCCTAAGCTACTCACTCTTTCCTCTCCAACAGTCTCAGAAAAAAAAAAAAAAAAAGACACACCTCCATCACCAACAGCAACAAGAGAGCTATTCCTGAGAGGGCAAGGCTTGGAGGATCTCCATAAACTGAAAGTGTTGTGCCCTTCAGTTATCAAAACCTCTGTGGAATTTGATTGGAATGGGATCCCCAATAGAAAAGACAGATACCTTTCTGCACAGGAGATATCCTACGAGAGATTAAAACTGATCTTTTGCTAAGTAAAAGTAAAAGTAAAATGGTCTTTTACTGTTGCTAAGACTCAGTGAGGGTGCTCTGGTGGCCTAGGGGATAGGGAGTTGTACAAAGGGTGATTTGAATCAACAAGTTGCTCCCCAGGAGAAAAAATGGGGAATCCCCATCTATGCAGTCTACAGCCTCTGAAGACTCACTGGAAGATCAACTGTGAGTCAGTTATAACTCCACAAAAATGAGTTAAAATCAGCTGAAACTTCCAAAGGCTCATGGTTCAAATCCACCAGATGCTCTGCTGGAAAAGGAGGAGCAATCTCTTCCTGTGCCAGTCAGATCCAATTCGGTGGTACAAAACAAGGGGGAGGAGGGATCAGCTGAAAACTCAATAAAGAGGTTAGTTCAGTCAGTCGTTGGTCATGAGTTGCTCTCAGTCCAGTACAGAATTACTGTCACTGTCAGATGCTGTAACTCCATGTAACCCTATGAACAACAGAATCTTGCCCTATCCTGGGCCATTGTCACAGTCTCCACCGTACTCACACCCATCATCACAGTCACTGTGTAAATCCATCTCTATTTCTGTCATCTTCTATTTTTCTCAGCTTAATGGTAACGGAAAGAAGTATGGAAATGGCTGGTTCTTGAGCAAGGCAAGGTGAAGCAAACACAAAGAGCAGGTTTAGAAAACACAATGTCAGAGGAGCTCTGGTGGCCTAGTGGCAAGGAGCTGCAACTACAACCCCAGAGGCACATGGTTCGAATCCACCAGATGCTCTGCCGGGAAAAGGAGGAACAATCTCCTCCTGTACCAGTCAGATCTGATTTGATGGTACACTCACACAAAAATTTAAAAAAAAACAACACAATGTCAGAGACCAGAGGAGAGTGACCTCTTAAAACCAGTAAGTCTGGATCTTATCCAGAGTCGTTTATCACCCTGAACAGTAACAAGCATGTAAATGAATTGGAGCCATCAGAAGGAGGCTTCTGGAAGTGGTGGATCCTGAGAGAAGACTTCTTAAAAGTGCAGAAAAGGAGAGTATATTCAAATAAAGGGAGTGTGGGAGGGTTGGCTGGGACTAGAGAGGAAGAGGTTGCATGAGCCCGGGGGTGGTCCAGCGCTCAAGATAAACGTCTTCCTTGTCCCCCTCTAACCTCACCTGTCCACAAGGGACTCCAGATCTTGCTGAGGTATCCGTTCCCCTAATATCTTGATTTCTTGCTCCTTGGTTCCCTGAGACACCTCAGATTGTCCTTCAATTTTTATTTCTTTGGGTAATTTCACAGTAAATTTTCCATTTGAGGCCACATTATTCAAAATTCGGAACTCAGACTTTTGACCTGAAAAAAAAAGAACAGTGAAAATCATCTTGGGCCTGGTCCTAAAGATCTCTCCCCAGAAAATCCTCTCTGAAGCAGTTTCATCCTGGACTTCCCTCAATGGTGGCCTAGTGGAAAGGAGTTGTACTGTCAACCCAAAGGTGCCCGATTCAAATCCCTCATCGAGAGAAAGATGGGCAATCTCCTTCTGTACAATTTACTGCCTCCGAAACCATGCTGGAGCATCAGCTATGGGTCAGTTCCAAACCAAAGGTAACTGACAACAACCACCACCCCTAGATAGCCCTCTAGCTGTGGCTGTAAGGAAAGACCATTCTTTTTCAGGAGGAATCATCCCAACATCATATATTGCTGGGTGTGATGATGCTCTGCTGGCCCCTTCTTATCAAGTGACCTTGGGACATTGAGCTAAATTGTTCACTTAACCTCTTTGAATCTCAGTGTCTGCATTTATAGTGGAAAAGAACAGAACTTCCTGTGCTTGGGAAAGTGAAAATGAATAAAGCAATTAAACACTAAATGCCTGGCACACATCCTAAGTACTAATAAGGAGTAGAGAGGAGTTGAGCCTTATAAAGCTATCTGAGAGGCTGAAAAGACACAAGGAAAAGTGAAGTTAAAGAACTAGAAGCCCCTACCATTTGGAAAATAAGAATGTAGTCAAGGTCAATGAACTGGGCAAATGTAAAGTAAGCAACCCTGAAAAGCTGTCCATCTGTGGACTCTGTCCCGACTGAATAGGTGCTAATAAAAACATGAGTTCAAAGTCAAAACTGCTGCCCTGGAGTAAGTGGAAATTGTGTGGAAGAACAGAGGAGGGAAGGCTCCTATTGCTGGGATATTGGAGCAGTCAGGGAATGACCACCCAATAAGCAAAATTAATTTCTCTGGCTTTCTGGATAACCCATCCCCTTGCAAATTTTAAAATAGGCTTAAATTCTTTAAGAAAGTAATGTGAGGTTAAGAAAGAAAAAGATGCCCACCATATCTAGGAGTAGATTCTTTGATGTGATTAAAAAGTATGAACTTGCTCATTATAGATTACTAAATTAACTTGGACTAACCTGTACTCAACGGTACATAACAACATCAACAACCTGTACTTAGCTTGTTTACTGAGTGATCTGAGACTGGGGACAGGGCTAGCGTTTAGGGAAATTTACAGTTTGGAACCAGAGGAAGTGTGAAGGAACTGGAACTCGTGCCTGAAATCATCAGCCCTGTATGTACATGCGGACATCTACGTCCTGTTTCTGGAGCAGTGCAAAGGTCTGCTGATAAGTTATCAGAAGAAGCAAAACAAAACCTATGCACACAACACAGTCAACAAAGGCTGTGTGCTGCATCATATTTTGTTGAGAAGCAAGCGAGGTCTTGAAAACTTTTGAGCACTGCAGGTGGGACAACGTCTGACCAAAGAGGTGTGGTTGGGGTTCCCAGAGAAGAAGGACCAGCTGGTCTCATCCTCTGTGTCCCCTCACACCCGTCTTGTACCTCTCAAGCACCCCTTCTTGGACGTGAGCTTACGCCTAAGACGTGTATGTGGAGATGCACCAGGAACTTGCACACCTGGAAACAGAACAAGTCAGAGGTCTATCCCTCAGTGTTCTTGTGCCCAGTCCAGACTAAAAAATAGTGTGTGTGATGTCAAAAAACAAAAGAGAGAGAAAAGTTTTTGAGCTAAGGTACAATTGTTGATCTCTCCCTGTCCAGAAATAAGGAGAGGGAATAAAAGCAAAGGTATACAGACACAATCAGTCTAATAGACTATGAAACACAACCTCAACTTCCAGAGACCAAACAAAGACGTTGGTGCCCAGATACCACCACTGACCCCTCTAAAAAAAGGATCGCAGTAGAGGGTCATGGATAGAGTGAGGGAAAACGGGGAGCAAAACCCCAAACCATAAAAGTGGCCAACCTTCCTTTCTACGAAGATGGCGCCAAAAGCGAAGAAGGAAGCCCCTGCCCCTCCCAAAACTGAAGCCAAAGCAAAGGCATTAAAGGCCAAGAAGGCAGTCCTGAAGGGCATCCACAGCCAAAAAAAAAAAAAAAAAGAAGACCCGCATGTCACCCATCTTCTGGCAGCCTAAGACGCTGAGACTCCGAAGGCAGCCCAAATACCCCTGGAAGAGCGCCCCCAGGAGAAACAAGCTTGACCACTATGCCATCATCAAATTTCCCCTGACCACTGAGTCAGCTATGGAGAAGATAGAAGATGACAACACACTTGTGTTCATTGTGAATGTCAAGGCCAAAAAGCACCAAATCAAACAAGCTGTAAAGAAGCTCTATGACATTGATGTGGCTAAGGTCAACACTTTGATTAGACCTGATGGAGAGAAGGCCTATGTTCGACTTGCTCCTGACTATGATGCTTGTTGGATGTTGCCAACAAAATTGGGATCATTTAAACTAAGTCCAGCGGGCTAATTCTAAATATAAATTTTTCTCACCAAAAAAAAAAAATGGCCAGCCCTTACTGGTCGAGTGGAGATTGGTGGAATCCCTGATACAATATCCATTAATAGCCCTTTGATTCTGAACAAAACTTACCCTTGTGGGTCAGCTTGCAGTCTAGTAACAGGCAAACTAAACTGGTAGTACCAGAAAGGCATTCACTTCTTAGAATAAACTACCAAAGGAAATCAAAAGGAACACCTGTGGCCAAAGATAAAAGCCCAGAAGGCAGGATAGGGTAGGATAGAAGGATTAGTGGAAACATAAATCACAGGGAAGAAGCAGGAAGGTATGGTTACATTGTAGGTATGGCAATTAATATTATAAACCAAAATTTAGTTATCTTGGTTTATTGTAATACAAAAGTAGATCATTTTTAAAAAACTATACACAGGAAGAGTACAAACAGGGAGAGCTAGTAACTTGGACTGACGCAGAAGTTTTTGGTTATATGTAAACAGCCTTGCTATCCATTCTTCCTTTTTTTTTTTTTTGTCTTGTTATAAATTTATCAATCACACAACTTTTTCCAATTAAACTACTTAGAGATGTAATAACTTCTTGACAGCAATCACAGTAATTGGCTATGTAATTTTTCATCACTCTTAACTCCCACTAACTACTGGTCAACTATGTTCTTGATGTATTTGCCTTTTCTTGTCATTTTATATAAGTAAAACTGTGAAATGTTAGTCCTTTTGTGACTGATTTTTTTCACTTGGCATGTCTTCCACCTCCATCCATACGATGGAGCTGAAAGATCATCCCCATGACCCAGCAGGTATGAATGTAGAGCAACGGGCTTTTGCTGGGCCATATACGGCTCTATACAACCCTGCTTGCTGCTAATTCACTTCTGCTTACTAAGCATGCAATACTTGCTAGACTGGCCTTGGAAATCCACACCACTTCTTTACCAGAGAGGTAACAAATCCTTGCCTCTCTCTATAAGGTATGGAAATTCAAGTCTGCCCATGGCATTGCCTCTGTAAGTAATCCTTGACTGGATTGTGGAGTTTCTAGCATCCTTCCTTGGTTTCTCAGCACGGTAGGACAAATTTCAAGTAACCAATCCAAAGCTTGCCTCAGTCTAACAAAGATTTTATTTCTCCTGCTCGTTGGTAGGAGTTGTACTGCCAACCTAAACATAGAAGATACCAATCAACCAACTGCACCCCAGGGAAAAGATGGACAGTCTCCTCCCATGCAATTTCTTGCCTCTGAAAACCTGCTCACTAGAGGGTCACATATGAGTCAATTCCGACTTGATGGTACATAACAACCCCAACGGTGTTAATAGTATTTTTTTTATTGTATGTATACACCGCGTTTTCTTTCCCTATTCAGCAGTTGACAGGACTTGAAGTTCTACCTATTGGCTTTTGTGAATACTGCTGCAATTAACACTGGAACTGTTGGGTTACATGGTAGTTCTATATCATTTTTTGTCATTCATAACTCCTAGTTTTCATACTCATCAATAAATAGGTAAAAGATGCAATTTTGTCACATCCTCACTAGTCTTTGATATCTTCCATTTTTTTTCCACCCTTAAATCCCTAAGGCATAGGGTTTGAATCTACCCGCTGCTCCTGGGAGAAGGATGAGCAATCTTCTCCCATGTGATTAGATGCCTCTGAAAACCTGCCGGAGGGTCAGCTACTGGCCAGTTCCAACCCAATATACAACAGTACAGCAATCATCTTGGTAAGAGTAGAAAGGTATCTCTTTTCAGTTTTTATTTACATATCTTTGAGCATTTTCTCAAAGGTTTGTGATCATCTGAAGGTCTTTCACGGTGAGAAATGTCTACTCAATTTCATTACCTATTGTATGATTGGCATATCTGTCTATTGTTATATTGTCCAAGGTTTGTGTATTTTGCTGAATATATGGTTTTAGAGTTGATAGGTGCAAAAACTGAGAGAGATTTAATGGGCAAAGCTGAATTTTTAACTTGATGCCTCCAGCCCTAAACCTGCAGTCTTTCTTAACCATTAAGCAAAATGTTTCTATATACTTATCCACTTAAGTGGCAAGCATACAGAAGCATGAGAAGAGCTCAGCTAATCTGAAAGTGAATTATTTACAAAGGGAATAATGGAAAAGGAAAAATAGTTACTGTTTCCAATATAAATAAATCTCTATATCCCCTGCTCACTTCTCCCTATATAGCTCTATTGTGTATTTCTTAAATTGAGGCACAAAATGACTCTACAAACCCCACAGCTTCTTTGTTGACTGGTGTCAACACAAACCTACTTGGTTGATGCCAAGAGAGAGTTGAAAATGGTCATACTGACCTTCCGACCCAGAATCATACTCCTCTAGGATATCTTCCAGGGTGAGGCCCGTCATGCAGTGCTGGGTTCCAAAAATCGTTTTCTTTTCTCTCACAAGATAGTGGCACTTGAATCTATCTGCATCAATGACACTTCTAACAGCAATCATATCCCCTCCAGAGACGAGCTCGTGTACCACAGTTCTTGTGACTTTCTCAAATATGCTGGACATTGTGCCTGCGTCAAGTAGAAAAGGAAGTTAATATCAAGTTTGAAGGGGAGAGGAGACAGAATGTGCTCTCAAGGTTTTTAAATCTTTTCTTTTTATCTAACTGGGATAAAAAAAAGAGCCAAGTGTCCCAGGAAAACCAGTAGCTGACATAATTTCTAGAAACATGATTGTTTCTAGAAGGTGAGGCATAGAATCATTTCAGGAAGTAACTTATGATCAAGAACCAATGGCAATAAGAGAAGACGTTTAAGCTGCACTGAAGTTATTGGCATAAAATAAAACCTCAGGAATTGGAGGCCTTAGTGGAATTAATGGAATACCAATTGATATGTTTAAATAAATAGATGTACCCTGAATGTGTTTGCCAGCCTGTGACAGGAAATTTGGAAAACAGCTACATCGTCAACTGACTGGAAGAGATCCATGTTTGTTCCCATTCCCAAAATAAAGGTAATCTAACAGGATTGGAAATTATCAAACAATTTTATTATTACATGCAAGCAAAGTATTACTAAAGATCATTCAAAAATGGTTAGAACAGTACGTCAATGGAAAAATGCCAGAAGTTCAAGCTGGACTTCGAAGAAGCTATGGCACCAGGGAAATCATTGCTGATGTCACATAGATCTTGGCTGAAAGCAGAGAACACCAGAAGGATGTCTATCTGTGATTTATTGACTATGCAAATGCATTTCACTATGTAGATCATAATAAATTATGGGTAACATTGAGAAAAATGGGAATCCCATAACACTTAATTTTTCTCATGTGAAACCAATAAACTGTTGTCCAAACAGACCAAGAGAATACTGTATGGTTTAAAAATCAGGAAAGGTGTGCATCAGAGCTGCATCCTTTCTCCATGCCTACCCAATCTGTATGCTGAGCGAATCCCTAGAAGAGGTTTCCGAGGAGAAGGAGAAGAGAGTCCTCTTCTGGGGCCCTTAATTATATGTTTTGTTACTTCCTAGTTCTGTCTGGAATACGGGCACCATCTGCACTGGCAAAGTTTTTGATGAAACTCCCTTGACCTTGGCCAACTGGTTGATTGTTGGCATGCACCGATTGACTCCCTCGGCAGCTGTTTGGTTTCATTTCCTAGTTTTTCTCCAGGCCCTGTTGCCATCTTCCTTTTATTCTTCCTCTGGTCCCTATCACCTAATACCCGCTTCACTTCTTAAATCAAAGAGTTAGAGATAAATTGGCCTCAAGGAAGCAAAACATAAAAGAAAAAGCACAAAAATTATTTAAAACTGGCCACTCTGGGCAGCCACCTTAGGCTCTTTATCTTCACTTTCTAAAGGGGCTCATTGCCCTTGATGAAATAAAATTAATCCAAAAGCTCCACAAGAAACAATTTCCTCCACCCATTTTCTCCTTTTACCTTCTGTTCTGCTCCTGACCTGAATACCTCTATCTTCCCTGACTGTGCCATACCCACATAAGTCCAAAGCCCAGATAAGATGACTCATCCTGTCCTTTTCTATTTCTATTCTACAGCAATTCTTCATCCCCACCACAGTGGATCTCTCGGGATCTGTCATTTTCAAATCTTTGTGGGTAAGGAGCTGTGCCAAAGCCAACACAAAGGTACTTGTTCAAATCCACCAGCTGCTTCATGGGAAAGATGGACAATCTACTTCCATGCAATTTACTTCTTCTGAAAAACCACTGGAGGATCAGCTATGGGTCAATTCCAACTCAACAGTATACAGCAACAATAACTCCCTTTCCATTAATAACTCTGATTCTCCCCTCTTGAAACCTTCTTCAGGCTCCTTTGCTTGCTTCCTGGTGATAGATGTCAATTTATACCCTTCCTGGGCTCTAATTCTACAGCCCACTTCTGGCCACTTTCCTCTAAATCCCTCTTACCAGCCCAGGAAATTATCCCCTCCTTAGTCTATTTTCTGTTCCTGCTGCCACCAGTTCTCAGCTCACTTCCAAACTAGAATTTCTTCCAGGTGTCTGCAAAGGCAATGCCTGTGACCCACAGGTTCGTTTCAGGGCTCACCCACCTCCTCCCTGGGCTCATATTCACTGACCTCCTCCCCTCAACCACTCACCAAAGTAGAGGTAGCAGGAATTCTCCTTCTCTGTATAGTTCCTGGCTCTTGTGACTCAGGTAATTAAAATGAAAGAATTGAGAGTTGTCCGGGTTGAGTGCTTACTGGGAGCTGGGTGAGGCTAGTTGCCACACCTTCTCACAGACAACAGTACAGAAACTCTGCCTAACCCTGTGTCATCCTCAGAATTTCCATTGTACATAGTCCACTATGTCAATCCATCTAGTTAAGAGTCTTCCTCTCTTTCAGTGATCCTCTACTTTCACGAGCATTATTATGTCTTTCTCTGGGGATTGGCCTCTCTAAATAACAAACCCAAATTAAGTGCAAAGTGAAGTTTTCACTATTTTTTGCTTCTAAGGAGTACTCTAATGGCATTTCTCCCAAGACAGATTTATTTATTCTTTTCATTACAATCTAAAGTCTTCACACTTGCTTGGCAGGCATCAGAGAGCTGGACAATGACTAGGGATTGAGAAAGAAGTAGTAACTAAAGGAAAAGACAAAAAAGAAAAATAACTTTTGCTCAGTTACTAATAATGTTATAATTCCATGTAGAAAGATTTTATGTAGTAATTGTGTTAGTATTCATATAATCCAACAGATAATACATTTAATCAATTTGCATCTATATGTATCACATATTATTCTATGACTAAATTTATTATAAATATTACTAAAGAGGCAAGGCTAGTGAAACTTTGTTTCTTACTTAGGGTATATTTTCAGAAAAAAAGAAACAGTCTTTGGAAAGAAAATCATGGTGGGCAAGAGAAGAAGACCCTCAAGGAGATGGATAGACACAGTCACTAGCCACAATGGGCGTGAGCAGAAGAAAAATCATGAGGATGGCACAGGACAGGACACGGTTCAGATCTGTTGTTAATGAGTTGTCATCAATTTTATGGTGCCTAACAATAAAGACTGACACTGAAAAAATTCAGGAAGTACCATATGGACAGGAGCCAATGGTAATGAAGGAGAAAGTAGAAGCTGAATTGAAGGCATTGGCAAAAAATAAGGTCCCAGGCAACGACAGGATACCAAATGACTTGTTGCCATTAACAGGTGAAGCCATGAATACACTCACCAGTCTATGCGAGGAAATTTGGTGGACAGCTGTCTGGCCAACGGATTGGAAGAGGTCCATATTTATTCCCATTCCCAAGAAAGGTGATCCAACTGAATGTGGAAATGATCTAATGATATCGTTGATACTACATGCAAGCAAAACACTGCTGAAGATCCTTTAAAAACAGCTGGAACAGTACATAAATAAGGAACTGCCAGAAGTTCAAGCAGGATTTAGAAAAGACCGTGGAACCAGGGATATGATTGCTCATGTCAGATGGATCCTGGCTGAAAGTAAGAAATACCAGAAGAATGTATATTTGTGTTTTATAGACTATGCAAAAGCTTTTGTGTGGGTCATGACAAGTTTGTGGCTGACACTGAGAAGAATGGGAATCCCAGAGCACTGAATTATGTGCATCTGGAAACTATACCCAGATCAGGAGGAGGTTGTGCGAACAGAGCACAGGAGCATTGCAATGGCTTGGAATTGGGAAAAGAGTGAGTCAGGGTTGTATTCTCTCTCCATACCTATTTAATCTGTATGCTGAGAAAATTGTCCAAGAAGCTGGACTCTCTGAGGAGGAGTGTGGCATCAGGATTGGAAAGAAACTCATCAATAACCTGCATTATGCAGATGATACAACCTTGCTTAAGGAAAGTAAAGAAGACTTGAAGTATTTGTTGTAAAAGATCAAGGAATACAACCTTCAGTATGGATTGTGTCTCAATGTCAGGAAGACTAAGATTCTTACCACTGGACCAATAAGCAGTGTTATGATGGATGGAGAGGAGATTGAAACTGTCAATAGCTTCATCTTGCTTGAATCCACAATTAACAATCTTGGTATCAGCAGACAAGAAACAAGGAGACACATTGCACTGGGAGAATCTGCATGCAGTTGAGGTACCTTTCCAAAGTATTGAGGAGAAGTGATGTCAGTTTGAAGACTAAGATACATCTGATTCAGGCCCTAGTCTTTCTGATTATTAGCTATGCTTCTGAGACCTGGACAATGAATAAAGATGACAGAAAAATAATTGACGCCTTTGAAGTGTGGTGTTAGAGAAGAGCACTGAACATCCTATGGATGGCCAACAGAATGAACAGATATGTCTTGGAGATGGTGCAGCCAGAGTGCTCTTTGAAGGCAAGAATGATGAGGCTTTGCCTCACATACTTTGGATATGTTGCTAAGAGGTGTTATTCCTTGGAGAAGGATATGATGCTGGGAAAAGTGGAGGGTCGGCAAAGGAAAGGAAGAACCCCCCCCAACCAGGTTGATTGACATGGTAACTGCTTCAATAGGCTCTTGTGTATGTCAGAAAGTATAATGATGGTGCAGATAGAACAGGGTTCTCATCTTTGGTCATAGGTTGGCTGTGAGTCATGCTCGACTCAAAAGCACCTAACAACAACTACAACAATAAAGATTCTATATTGATCTGGTTGGAAGGAGGCCCAGTGGGAGAGGGCAGGGAGTGACACCATAAATTACTCCACCCTGTGGCACTAACCCAACTAACACCACTGTGAGGTCCACATTGGGATGCTGGACTGGATAAAGGCCCACATCTTCCTGATGCCCACTCTAAGAATGTTGTGATAATGTACCAGGACTAGAGGGGAGCGTCTGTCCTACACCTTTGACTTTGTACCCACCCCAGGAGTGCCAGGAGAACTGCAGCGAACATAATCCAAAGCAAGCGCCCTTGAGAGAGAAGGTTGCTTTCACTGTAGGGATCCTCTCTCTTGTCTGATCCTATGTAAGACTAGATTTGGAGGTTTGTCACTTCCCCTCCAATTCTGGTGGCATAGCCCCTAAGGAGTTACACTGCTAGCCCAAAGGCTACAACTCTCCA